TCTCCATCTCAATCTTCCTGTCCATCTCCATCTCTATCTCCTCTCCATTCATCTCCTCTCTATCTCCATCTCCTCTGCAACTCCATCTCCTCTCCATCTATATCTCCTCTCCATCTCCATCCCCTTTCCTGTCCATCTCTATCTCCTCTCCATCTCCTCTGCATCTCCATCTCTATCTCCATCTCTATCTCCCTGTCTATCTCCTCTCCATCTCTATCTCCTCTCCATCCCCTTTCCTCTCCATCTCTATCTCCTCTCCATCTCTATCTCCATCTCCTTTCCTCTCCATCTCTATCTCTATCTCCTCTCCATCTCCTCTGCATCTCCATCTCTATCTTCCTGTCTATCTCCATCTCCTCTGCATCTCCATCTCTATCTCCCTGTCTAGCTCCATCTCCTCTCCATCTCGATCGTCGAGCTGCGACTTCACTGCTCACACTATACGTGTAATATCTGAGATAACCCCCTGAATTGCGCCTATAGACGTGTATGTATCCAGAGATATTGTCAAAACAAGCATCTGCTATCAGTGTCAAGATGATTTAGCATTTTCAGTTTATGCATTTAATTATTATTAGTATTATTGTATTATAATTATTAGGGGAGGCTATAGGCTAATTTTATTATTAAATTGATCCGCTATTGTAATTAATTTGCCACGCAATATTTAACCAACACATAACCAACGTGCTGTGAGGATAATAAAATATTACATAATCTTACTCCTCATTAAAAATTGTCTAAAACATTTAGGTCCATTACAATGAATTATAGGCATATAAAATAGCTATTAACAGTCTACAATATGTCCAAACATTGCCATAATTAATCATCAATGAAAATTAAAAACAGGTTTATTTCAAAAACATTGTTTAACAAATTAAAAAAACATTGTTTAACAAATTAATAAAAGAGGTGTTACATCGCAGGTGGCTTGGAAGACATGGGTAATATCCATTTTGCAACACGAACTGGAGGTAAGCAACAGTAATTTGTAGCTAGTTTGAACTACAGAACTTAAAGATCTCCCTCTTTTCGTTTTTATTTTAATTTTATTTTTGCTGCAGATGAAATGGTTAAACTTCTGTTTTCACGCAGGTGCAGTGAGGGAAAAAACACTGAGTTTAGGGCAATCAGTTCGTAGCTTTGCTTCAACTGTGCGATATAATCACGAGGAGCAACCAAAATTTCTGACATGCCAGAAATTCATCCGACCATCCGATTTTCGATCGTGAGAGGCTAATCGCCTCTTGTTTCTCCCTGTACACTGCACGAACACTGTGCGACAAATGATGCACGACAAAGCTAAAAATCGGTCCGACACGAAAAAGAGTCGCACGAGTCAGAATTCACTCAAAATCGGACGAAAATTGCACAGTGTTTGCCCGCCTTAAGTCAACTCAGAGTTGGTTAAACCTCCTTATTATCGGCCCCAGGTGTTATCAGCTCAATGTTGATGATGACATAAATCACAAAACAAGCATCAAATGTTGAGTTTGAAATTGTTTTTATATTTGGCATTCTAACCACCAACCTTATGGAACTACAATATTGGTGCCAATTGAATAAAAATATTGTTTGTTTTACGCAAATGCATCATGTAGTCGCCAAGGGGTCGCCAAGCTCACGGGTTAGAGATTAAACGGTTACCAGTTTGATGATAAACCACAATGCAATTTCTGACGATTAGTATTAAGGTTTGAAATTGAATCATCAAAATCATATTTGAATGCAGAAGAAGTGAGAGGTTTTACAACCTTTACCATTAAGAGCTCAGGGAAATTATATAATTTTTTTATGATTGAATTCTACGAATGTATCTCTGAAGGGAACTTACTGCCATAAGAAAAGTTTTGATGGCATTTTCTTTTCATATTCCCTCTGTGTGATGTTTATTTACATTTAGGGGATGTAAATTTCATTTCATTTTATTTTATTTCATTTAGGTTACCAGGGAATTTCTGGAATTCTATTCTATTCAACTATTTTATATTTCTATATATTATAATATTTCTGCTGTTCCATAAGCGCCACCTACTGACAGAGAGTGGATTTACATTTTCATTCAGCCTCCGGTGTTTTTGCTTGTGAAACTTAGACTACATCACGTTAAGGATTTTGAATGTTATGGGGTCTCCTGGAAAAAAAGGTAAGACAGCAATCAAGTCTCTTTAGAAAAATGTTGGACAAAACTGCTTTATTTATAAGGATTAGTTTTAAAATCTCTTTTTGAAGCGTAAAAGTGGTAGCTGTGAAGCTGTCCGTGGAGGGACAGAAAGCTCTCAGATTCCTCAAATAGAATCTTCATTTATGTTTCGAAGATGAACGAAAGTCTTAAGGTTATTATAGACCTTATGCACCAGAGAAACGTGGGCGCCGTCATCTTTAGAATATTGTCCTTGAACTTCCGGTTCTGTATATTTCTATGGCATCGCTGTCGAGGAGTAATTAGCTGGTGAAGTGGATTTACTTATTGTAGAGTTAACATCTCGGTTACGTATGTAACCCTCGTTCCCTGAGTAGGGAACGGAGACGTTACGTCGTATGACGGAGAATGTGGGTTTCGCCTAGAAAGCCAATCCGCTTCGAGTATTAAAAAACGAGCCAATGGCAAAGAAATGCCATGGAAGCGGTCTCATATGAAGCAATCCGAGCGGCGTTGCCGCGGCTGCGGATGCCATATGCCCCAGGAGCCTCTGAAGTTCAGTGGGACCGCAGTCTTGCCCTCGAACTGATGAAGACAAGTGGCGACCGAGTCTATCTCCATACCGAGAAAAGAGATCCTATGCTCGTGGCAAAATTTGCTCTTCTCCCAGTTGACCCGAAGGCCCAGACGGGTTCGGTGCCGGAGCACGAGGTCTCTGTGTTCGCAAACCTGATCTCGAGAGTGTGCTAGAAACAGCCAATTAATCGTGCTTTAAAACGAGCTTTGTAAAGACGCGAGGGGACAGAGCCAACCCGAATGGGAGAACCGTGTACTGATATGCCTGTCCCTCGAAAGCAAACCGAAGAAACGGTCTGTGTCGAGGTAAGATGGAGACATGAAAGTACACGGCCTTCAGGTCCATCGCTGCAAACCAATCCTGGGGCCGAATGCACTCGAAAATGCGTTTGGCCGTAAGCATCATGAACGGCAGTCGGTAAAGAGTACGGTTCAAAACGCGAAGATCTAGGATCGGTCGTAACCCACCGGTCTTCTTGGGGACAATGAAGTAGGGGCTGTAAAACCCTGACCTCATCTCGGCTGGAGGGACAGTCTCGATTGCACCCTTCCCCAGCAGGGTAGCAACTTCCGCTCTCATGATCGGGGCATTGCCACCAACCACCGTAAGCGAACTCCCCGGAGACGGGAAGGAGATCTTGCGAACTGAATCGCATAGCCAAGCCTGATTGCTCGGGTGACCCAACAGGACAGATTGAGGAGCTCTAGCCAAACTCCCAAAAACTGATCCAGTGTAATCACCCGAGCCACAGACGTCCCCCCGGAGGGGCAGCGGGTCGAAGAGACTGGCAGACGCAGAGGTGTTACCCCCCGCGTGTGCACAATCGACAAAAGACCAGGGAAGGACCAGCATTCCATGGGGGTCTGCTCTGCTGGGGGTTTGGCGATAGAGGGGGATGGGAGTGGCGTGGTCCGGGGACAACACACACTCTCATCCGCACCCTCAGAGACAGAGGAGAATGAGAGTGGCGAGGCACGGGGCGTTGCGCACTTTCATCTTGCTCTGTGTGCTCAGAGATGGGATGCAGCTCTTTGAAGAAAAGATTTTCCCCCAGCCCTCCACCGGGGGAAGGAGTGGGCCTGCAACCACTCCCTGAAGAACTGTAAGCCACATCTGAGCTGCCCGTAATGGGAGCTACGCAGCAGGGCTGTGGGGCTGGTATGGACAGGGGCGCCTCCCTGCGATCACCTCCACGGCACGGCCCGGTGCTGTTTTTTTTTCTTAGAACGTGACACACCCACGAGCGCTGTCTGAGCGTGATCAAAGCCCAAACACGTCAAACAGCGCTCGCGCCCATCAGCTGACTCTATCAGAATACCGCACTCAGGAATACACGGGCAGATCGTCTTTAAAAAGACGCGTCTTTAAAAAGACGTGCCACGTGCACACTCTTTCAGTGAGAGGAGAAAACTCCGCGGATGTTGAAGTGACCAGGGAGAGACACACACGCTGGCAGACCACTGCTCAGATCGCAGGCAATGTGAAACTCGTTGGGTACCGCCGTCATACCAACACCAGAGAGTTCGCTCGTCTCGAAGAGGTGAGTCACAGTAGTAACTCAGATTGTGTGGCTTGTGGACTGAAGAAGTCCTCTTGGCTCCGAAGCGAAAACATACTGCAGTTGCGTCCGCTTCCTCCTTATACTCACGGGGTGAGGCGGAGATACGCTATGCAAATTCCGCAGACCCATGGCATTTCTTTGCCATTGGCTCGTTTTTTAATACTCAAAGAGGATTGGCTTTCTAGGCGAAACCCCCATTCTCCGTCATCCGAGGTAACTCGGAGTGACTACGAAAGGGAACAAAAGTTATCATGAGCATTGTAAAGTTTATCATACACATTGTAAAGCAGATGTCTTAACAAATGTCGAACGGGAATTTTTTTACGAGCAGTTTATTCATACCTGCAAGATCGCTGTGGAAATACAGACCGGAAGTCAAAAGACAACGAGCGCAACGGTGAAAAGGGGCAGGGCTACATAAGGTCTATACACTGGGCAAATTTTTGAACAATGTTGCCATCAATGGGCAACCAGGTGAGACAGGGCCCAAGACCGATCTAAAATGTCTAGATAAATTTGTTGCTCATTCTCAATGAGAAAAGCAACAATAACTCGGCAACATTGCTAAATAAGTTGCCCTATGTATCATCACCTTTATGAGGCTGGAGTAATTAATGACAGAATTTTCATTTTTGGGTGAACTATTCCTTTAAGCTTATATATTACATAAAAAAGTTACTTTGTGGTATCTTATATATTTTGACTTTAAATTCTAGGAGGAGCTCAATACAACACTGAAGTCCTTACAAGAGAAACTGAAACACAATGAAAACATTAAAGGAGAGTTTGAGAAAACAATTCAACACATCAAGGTGAGGATTGATTCTTTTGACTTTTTCACACACTGTAAAAAATCGCGCTGTAAAATAACAGTTATCTACTGGCATTTGTGGTTGCCAGCAAAGTACTGTTAATTTACAGCCCTCTACCGTTATTATACAGCTCTCTTTTTTACAGCATGTTTCTGTAAAAATTTGGCTGTTTTTTACAGCTGAACTGATTTGTCTGGAATAGTTACATGTTCATTTATTGACTAGAACACATTAAAACCAGACTGATCTCATGAAATGGTGTATGTATCACACACCAATTCTTATTTCCATTTTTGGTGTGCTATCAACATGCATAATTGCTTTTCAGCGTGTTTATGAACACCGTTGACTTAACGTTACATTACTCTATATATAAATATATGACCTACCCCAACCCCGTCCCTAAATCTACCCGTCACTGGGGTTAATAGCATTTATGAGTCTTCCCCTACCATCCTAGGAAAAAAAATATCGCTCCCCAGATGTAGATCTACATTTTGCTTCGTTTCGCTCTGATATTTAACGGCGTGTACATACACGCATACACGCGGATAGCTCAAAATGCGTATAGATAACATGCCACTTGACTTGAAAGTGGCGTGTATGTTTACGCAAAAGTCATGATGCCGTGTTGCAAAAACACACACACAAACGTTGGGTTTTCGTGTTTTATGGGGACTTAGACACATACATTTTTTCATAATGAACAAACTGTATTCCCTAAATCTATAGCCTGGATGCAAGCCCGAACCCCGCCCACAACATTTTTTGGTGGGGAAGTTCGGACTCGATCCATTGAAGAGTAATTATGATCGTTTCAGAATTAGTCGGGCCAATCAATTGCCAGGGCGGGCTTTATACGATGATGGACAGATGATCTGCAGTTACGTAATCATCACGTTATCGAAGAGCGCTTGGGTTGAACTGGTTTCCCTCAAAGATGACTTCAGCTGAAGAATTGAGAAGTATAGATTCCGCTATCGCGTCTGTTTTAGAAGAAATCGACAGCGCATTAATTTTAAAAGACGAACAGAGAACTGCAATAAAAGCATTTGTCGAACTGAGAGATGTGTTTTCCATCCTTCCTACACTGTAAAAATGAAAACGACTGAATCTGTTAAATCTAATCAATAAAATTGAGGCAACAGATTACAATCAATATTATTAATTAAATTTAACAAATTAGAATGGAGTAATAAATAACCATACAAATTACTTAAAGTTAACCATTTAAATTGAGTAAAATTTACACATTTTTCTAAACAAAAATATCGGAATAACAGACTGACGTCAAAGATGAATTAAGAACTCTTTTTTTTTCATTGCCATCATTGAAGACACCTGATGTTAACAAGCAGAATCACAGAAGAATAAAACCGAGATTTTTAAGTCACCATTATAGAGATCAGTCTGTGCTTTAGTTGGGCTCTTGACCCTTAAATTGTTAACTTTAGATGTTGTTTGGCTGTTATACGTGAGTTATAAGATGAACAAATAGAAAAGGTGATCTGATTGTGTTGGTTGTGTTTTAATATAATCAATATTTCACAATAATTTGACCTGAATCACTGTACTCACATAGAGCCCAGTTTCTGACTAAGGTTTATTTTATTAATTATAACATCATTGGCCTTGGACAGCATCATATTTTTAGCATTTTCAATGAAACTAAATGATCAAAACAATAAAAAGATAACTTCAGAAGTTATTTCATGGAGGCTGTCACAGTCTGCGTCTGCATCGTCCTGTCTGCTTTTCCTGCACTACACTTCCCAAGATCCTCTTGCCTCACACCTGAACTCACTCCCTCATCAGTCTCCGGTTCATCGTCATGTTCATCTGTTTCACCTGTTTTCACCCCATTATGTTTGATTCCTTTGTGTATTTAGTTCGCTCTGTTTGAGTTAGCCCTGGTCGGTCACTGTCTGATGTTAGCCTGTGTTGCGCCCGTATTCCTGTCTTCTCGCCTGTATTTTGTATTAAATGTGATCTTCGTTGCTAATTTGGACTCCTCTGGTTCCTCTGACTGCACCACACCCTGACAGATTGACCGACCCCCAAAGAAGTTTCAGCATGGGGATTCTCCTCACCCCAGCTCATTCTTTATTCACCGTCCAGCCTGAGCCAGAGACCGTGATCCCACCCACCCAGCCTCCCTCTCCCACCTCCTCCTATCCATCACGTCTTCACCGTTTCTCCACCACTGCTTGGCAGCCCCACTGCTTCCCTGGAGTGCTTCGAGGAGGTAGAATCGTCGTGGGTCTGCCGGCCACCAACTCCATCTGGGTCAGGGGATCCCCGGTCTCTGCCTCGGACCTCCTCGACCTGGACTCTGCCACAGCCTTCCGGTCCATCACCTCCACCATGGCTCTTACCTCCCTCACCTCCGCCGTGGCCCTTCAGCCCACCAGCTCCTCCAGGCTTCCTCATCCCCCGGTTCTACCTTGGTCCTTCATCGACCCGCCCTCACCCTGGGACTACCCTCCTCTGGCTGTGCCTCGTCACTCCATCCTTCGGGCTCTTCTCTCCCTCCGGCTCCACCTTGGTCCTCGGTCGCTCTGGCTGCGCCACGGTCTTCAGGATCCCCATCTTGGCCTCGGTCGCCGGCGCCATCAGTGTCACCATGTCCCTCCAGCCTTTCAACATCGCCCTGTCTCGTCGGCTCTATGGTTTCACCCTGGTCTCCTCGGTCACCTGCTCCGCCTCCATCAGTCGGCTCCCTGGAGTCATCAGTCCCGCCTCCTTCATGGCTCCTCCCTCCGTCGTCTCCACCATGGACGCCTGAGGGTCCAACTGCTCCGCCCTGGTCTCGCCCTCAGCCTGCTCTGCCCTGGTCTCGCCCTGAGCCTGGTCTCGCCCTGAGACTGCTCCGCCCTGGTCTCGCCCTCAGCCTGCTCCGCCCTGGTCTCGCCCTCAGCCTGCTCCACCCTGGTCTCGCCCTCAGCCTGCTCCACCCTGGTCTCGCCCTCAGCCTGCTCCGCCCTGGCCACGCCCTCAGCCTGCTCCGCCCTGGCCACACCCTCGACCTGCTCAGCCCTGGCCACGCCCTCAACCTGCTCCGCCCTGGCCACCCCACGCTCTACCTTCAGCTCGTCTGTCACAGTCTGCGTCTGCACCGTCCTGTCTGCGTCTCCTGCACTACACTTCCCAAGATCCTCTTGCCTCACACCTGAACTCACTCCCTCATCAGTCTCCGGTTCATTGTCATGTTCATCTGTTTCACCTGTTTTCACACCATTATGTTTGATTCCTCTGTGTATTTAGTTCGCTCTGTTTGAGTTAGTCCTGGTCGGTCACTGTCTGATGTTAGCCTGTGTTGCGCCCGTATTACTGTCTTCTCGCCTGTATTTTGTATTAAATGTGATCTTCGTTGCTAATTTGGACTCCTCTGGTTCCTCTGCCTGCACCACACCCTGACAGAGGCACATACAGACATCAAGAATTAGCGTATTAATCTTCATGCAGCAATGCATGATGGGAGCCATGAATGAGTTTTGATTGGTGGCACCCAGAATGCACTACAACATGCGCAATTATTGTCACCGTTGTTGAGATTCACAGGCTAATTCTAGATCTCTGTGTATCTAAAAACTAAATCAGAGCAAAGTTGTTTTTTTGTATTTGATATACGTTATAAAAAAAATGGATAACCTTGTAAAAATCATAAAAATATTATACTGTTCAAGGACACTGCTGCTACAATTAATTAAGTAAACCTAAACTGAACTCTATATGAATTCATTGATCAGGTCAAATGATTGTGAAATAATGATTATGGTAAAACATAACCATCACCATCAGATCACCTTTTCTATTTGTTCATCAGGCTATTCCCATATAACAGCCAAACAACATCTAAAGTTAACAATTTAAGGGTCAAGACCCCAACTAAAACACAGACTGATCTCTATAATGGTGACTTAAAAATCTCGGTTTTATTCTTCGGTGATTCTGCTTGTTAACATCAGGTGTCTTCAATGATGGCAATGAAAAAAAAGAGTTTTTAATTCATCTTTGACGTCAGTCTGTTATTCCGATATTTTTGTTTAGAAAAATGTGTAAATTTTACTCAATTTAAATCGTTAACTTTTAATTAATTTGTTTGGTTAATTATTACTCCATTCTAATTTGTTAAATTTAATTAATAATATTGATTGTAATCTGTTGCCTCAATTTTATTGATTAGATTTAACAGATTCAGTCGTTTTCATTTTTACAGTGTACGGGATTCGGAATTTTCAACAAACATCACTTCAAATAATGTCACACAAAGGCAAGGGTTTCGGATATTGCCATCTTTGTGGGGACATTTTCTTTCTCATAACATAGAGCAGTGTTTCCCAACCCTGTTCCTGGCGGCACACCAACACTGCGTGTATTCTTTGTCTCCCTTATCAAACACACCTGATTCAACCCATCAGCTCATAATCAGGTGGGTTAATGAGCTGATGGGTTGAATCGGGTGTGTTTGATTAGGGAGACAAAGAAAACACGCAGTGTTGGTGTGCCGCCAGGAACAGGGTTGGGAAACACTGACATAGAGGTTAACACCCACACACACAACAAACAAACACAGAGCTGTTTGTGTATAATGTTCATTATTTAGCAGTGGGTGGGACTAATGTACCAGCATTAATGCCATTGTGCTCACCTTCCACATTTTCATTTGGACAAACGCAGACAAATGTGACTACCCAGCAAACACATTACGTTGTGGCATGTTGCATTTCTGCTTTGGCAAAGTTGCTGTCTGCATGCTCACAATATTGTAACAATGTAGAATTGGCTTTATGCACAGCTGCACTACTTCCTGAACTTCAGCCAGATCCTGTGTTTCCTGTCTTCCGTTATTGGACAAACTGACTAATCCAGGTGTGTCTGATTATTGTTGTTGTGACTACTGAGGTCAGGCAGGATAGGCTATAGGCTGCAGGGAGTGGGCTATGGGCAGACATGAGAAAATCTAGCTACGAAACAAATGAAATGACAAAACAAAAGAA